ATCTGTTTGTCTAAGATCCATTGAAGGATTTCTTCTCATTCTTAATTTGCTTGAATTTGCAAGAGAGGCGTCTGCATTTGTTGACTCTTGCATGGACCGGAAGGAGACTCCAGAGGCTCACGTGTTCAAGGCCGATGTTCTATGGATCAAGAAAGATGAAGCGAAGGTCAAAATGGGAGGAAATAGATGGGGTTCTATTGTGTCATCCACGATGTATTTAAGTAGAACTCACTATTTATTTATATGTGGACCACAATCAAATAATTTGTAAATAAAAAATCTATTTTTTTTCTTTATGAGTAATATTGTTTATTAGAGAGGGATTGAAAGATTGTATTTAGACCCTTCACCCATATAATGATCTATCTTGGAGTAGAAGTGTAACAGAGAGGATCTAGATCCTTTGGGTACGAATGACAGTGGACGGGGGCGAGAGTGAGGGCAAATGGAGTAATCTCTACTCTCTTATCTGCTTAAAAAAAATTCGCCCACCCTGTTAGCGGAACATGTTTTAATCCATATCTTCTCTCTGCAAGTAAATTTTGATCTTCGCCACTTGTCCCCATATTCACCTCGGTTGCTAATTATTATAATTGATTATAAAAAGATTAAAAAAAATCATAACAATTAAAGTACAAGTTATGTCACTGTATACATATATCACATAATATGATCAAAATCAAAATCAAAAATAAATAAATAAATTAACAATATAATTCTTACACAATTGAGTAAAAGCAACAACAATTATAATTGTTATATATGTGTGTGTATTTCTTGCCGTCTCGATTCTCTTGAATTAGGGTTGAAAATTTTTAAATCTTAATAAATATAAATCTAACAAGTTTAGTGGGACGGGTATTGAAGCAGGGATAAGTTTTGGTCTATGCACGAGCTTATATTGAATATCCTCGTATATATCTATTGTACAATATATATTAGGGAGAATTACACTTAAATTTTTTAAAGTTTGTCACTTAATCACTCAGATTCTCTAATATTTGAAATATTATACACAGACTCTCTAAAGTTTGTACGCGCATAATATTTAGATGCCTATTATAAATATATCCGTTAATAAATTACAATCAGACCCCATGAAGTTTGTAAATATATATTAGTTAAACTTCTTAAGTTTAAAATGTTATAGTTAGACCAAAAATACTTCAATTAAAGATAAAATATCAAATATTTTAAATTTTACGATTAAAATTCATATTCTATTGATCTTTTATTGAAATAAAATCAAAAATCAAAATTTAATTTTTTCTTAAAAATCGTAATTAGTATACAATTATATTGTCTATTAGAATTTAACTTGATCATTTAAACGACCAAATTAAAATATCAAACTACTCCAATTAAAGCTAAAAAATATTGTGTTCATTACAGTTTAACCCCTTATTTAATTTTTTAGTTTTATTCTAATAGATAATATAATTATATTCTAATTTTGATTTTTTTTTTAAATTAAATTTTTATTTTTGATTTTATTTCAATAAATAATATAATAGAACATGAATTTTGGATGAGAATTTATGTTCTATTATGAATGACTTAGACACTTTATTTGATTTTTTAGTTTTATTCAAATAGATAGTATAATTGTATATTAATTACAATTTTTTAATAAAAAATTTTAATTTTATTTCAATAAATGATACAATAGAATATAAATTTTAGTTGTAAAATTTAAAATATTTGATTGAAATATTTTTTGTCTAAGTATAATATTTTAAACTTAACAGGTTTAAATATTATATAATTACAAACTTCAAAAGATTCTAAGTGTAATTAATTAATAAAAATATTTACTGCAGAGATCTAAGTGTTACGCGTATACAAATCTTAAGGAGTTTGTATATAATATTTTAAATGTTAGAGAATTTAAATGATTAAATGACAAACTTTCAGTTTGAGTGAAATTCTCTCTCAAATGAATAATTCCCCTTTTTCCTTATCCAGTGCCATCCCTTCCTCCGGAGGATACATTGAAAGGGATGCGGATCCTCTGTTGTTCGGAAGGAACAGCACAGCTTACTGTTCGAAAGAAACGACACTTTTTATAAAAATCAGTCAGACCCACAAAAACAAAAAAAGCCCTAAAACCAATCAGACCCATAAAAAAAAAAAAAAAAAAAACCCTAAGGAACAGCACAGGCTGTTGTTCGGTTAAGTTTGCCTTTTTTTTTTTTTTTCCGTTAAACCATTCCATTTTGTTCTTAAACAGTCCCAAAAACAGCAATTTAGCGTCATTCTTGCGCCATTCTTGGCGCACTCCTACACCAAAAACAAACGACTCCTTCAATTCTTGGTTTTGCGATTTGTCTCTGGTCCATTTCAAGTATTTTTATGTCCATTTCAAATATTTTTAAGTGGATATATGTATAAACACACACACACAGATATATATATATACACATCCACAAATTTAAAAAAAATTTAGTTGAATTTTTCTTGACCTAAATTTAAATTTTAAAATTTTGAATCTTCAATTGTTTTGTTAATTTCTTTGATTATTATTAAATTTTATGATATGATTTAATTGTGATGTTTTGGTTTGTTGTTAATTTATATTGATCGTGGGTTCGAACCTCATCGCCACCTTCTTCTAACTTAAAAAAAAAATACATTAAAACTTGTTTTAGTGTTTGATACACTAGTTGGTCTTTTTTTTTTTTTTTTTTCTCTCTCCCTATCTCCACTGTATTTTTTGGTAACAAACAAGATCTATTGGAATCAACGCTCCATCTCTCAAAAGCTATTAATTTTCATTTGTCTACCATCAAAAAGATAATAAGTAAAAAGATAAATTATACTTAAACCCACTTAAGCATATTCTTTATTTCATATTATCCCCTCAACTGTCATATTTTTTAAAATTGTATCTCTAATTATAATTATCGGTCTCACATTATGCTTTGACTATCCTAATTTGCATAATGCAATTTTCACTTATGATTTTTAGTTTCATATTAGGAACGTCTATTAATTTTTTAACACATTTTGAGAATTTTTGTCCAAATTATGATTAGTGTTTAATTATGTGACAATATAAAATTTATTCAAAAAGAATACAAAGAAAAAAATTTAGAGGTTGAAGGTGTAAAATATTTTTGTTATGCTCAATAGTTAGGAGTGTCTCGACTATTATTTTTTTTTGTCCAATCAAAGATAGATTATCTGTGCCAAAATTAAACTATTCATATCGTCCATGACTTGAATCTAAAAGATTACCAAAATTTGAGTAAGCTAAGGAGGTTTGGATTTATAATAAAATCACTTGGCTACAAACTGGTAGTAAGAGTAAGAAAGGATGAACACTAAAAAAAAAAAAAAGGACTAACTAGTGTATCAACACTAAAATAAGTTTCGATGTATTTTTTTTAAAAATTTTTTTGAACAGTATGTTACATGGAGAAGGTGACAATGAAGTTCGAACCCACGATCAATATAAATTAACAACAAATCAAAACATAACAATTAAATCATATTATAAAATTTAATAATGATTAAAGANTCTTTTTTTTTTTTTTCTCTCTCCCTATCTCCACTGTATTTTTTGGTAACAAACAAGATCTATTGGAATCAACGCTCCATCTCTCAAAAGCTATTAATTTTCATTTGTCTACCATCAAAAAGATAATAAGTAAAAAAATAAATTATACTTAAACCCACTTAAGCATATTCTTTATTTCATATTATCCCCTCAACTGTCATATTTTTTAAAATTGTATCTCTAATTATAATTATCGGTCTCACATTATGCTTTGACTATCCTAATTTGCATAATGCAATTTTCACTTATGATTTTTAGTTTCATATTAGGAACGTCTATTAATTTTTTAACACATTTTGAGAATTTTTGTCCAAATTATGATTAGTGTTTAATTATGTGACAATATAAAATTTATTCAAAAAGAATACAAAGAAAAAAATTTAGAGGTTGAAGGTGTAAAATATTTTTGTTATGCTCAATAGTTAGGAGTGTCTCGACTATTATTTTTTTTTGTCCAATCAAAGATAGATTATCTGTGCCAAAATTAAACTATTCATATCGTCCATGACTTGAATCTAAAAGATTACCAAAATTTGAGTAAGCTAAGGAGGTTTGGATTTATAATAAAATCACTTGGCTACAAACTGGTAGTAAGAGTAAGAAAGGATGAACACTAAAAAAAAAAAAAAAAGGACTAACTAGTGTATCAACACTAAAATAAGTTTCGACGTATTTTTTTTAAAAATTTTTTTGAACAGTTTGTTACATGGAGAAGGTGACAATGAAGTTCGAACCCACGATCAATATAAATTAACAATAAACCAAAACATAACAATTAAATCATATTATAAAATTTAATAATGATTAAAGAAATCAACAAAACAATCGAACATTTAAAATTTTATAATTTAAATTTAGGTCAAGAAAAATCCAACTAAATTTTTTTAAAATTTGTGGGTGTGTATGTCCATCTATATATGTGTGTGTGTGTGTTTATACATAAATCAATTTAAAAATATTTGAAATAGACATAAAAATACTTGAAATGGACAAGAGACGAATCACAAAACAAGAATTGCAAAACCAAGAAATTGAAGGAGTCGTTGTTTGTTTTTGGTGTAGGAATGCGCCAAGAATGGTGCCAGATTGCTATTCTTGGGACTGTTTAAGAACAAAATCGAACGGTACCGTTTAACGGAAAAAAAAAAACAGAAAAGAAGGCAAACTTAACCGAACAACAGGCTGTGCAGTTCCTAAGGGTTTTTTTTTTTTTTGTTTTTATGGGTCTGGTTTTAGGGCTTTTTTTGTCTTTTTGGGTTTGACTGGTTTTTCAAAAAAGGCACCAAACGGTGCCGTTTCTTCCGAACAGCAGGCTCTGCTGTTCCCGAACAGTAGAGGATCCGCATCCACATTGAAAGCGAGTTCTTATGCCAAAAACAAAAAAGAAATTGAAAGAGAGTTTGGGTTTAGGAAGGACTTGGATTTTATTTTATTTTTTTTTAAATTTTCCTAAATTCCCAAAGCTAGGTGTGATAAACATCACTCACGGTTAATTGTCGAGTTCTGTTCCTTAATAAATGTATCGATACATATATAGTTGTACAGATTGAACTCGAAGATGAGTCTGGTGTAGACTATGATTGAATTGATCGTCATCGTAGCTCTGGTATTGGCTTTAGGGTTAGCTCTTGCCATTGTTTTCGAAACTTTCAGAAGACGGTATAATTACAGGTACATTTCACACATCCGAAAAGCAAACCCCGATTTACAGATTATTCGATTGACTTTTGATATTTTTATATATATAAATTTTCAGTCACGTTGAAGCTCCTCCGATCTTCGAGGATCCAAATTCATCGAAACCCGTAATGTTCTATTTTTTTTTCTCTCAGATTATACACGAATTTATGCTTATAATGATGTGTTCAACCACATGTAAACGAAATATACTACTGCACTTGTAATTTGATTTAACGAAAATTAATTCAAAGGTTACTGTCTTAACTTAATCAAATAATTCATATATGTTGCAAAGATTTGAACCTGTGGCTTATGTTAGTTTTGTGGTTGATTCTATGCTATGAGCATCGATGATGAGTAGTCGTTTACGTTAGGTCTTTAAAAAGTGTTCCATGACCTTGTGTACACTTGATATTACGAATAGTTGAAAACCATGTACTAGTGCGAGCTTGCGAGTGGTAGGCTGCATTGGGCGGTAGAGTGCTATAAAATGTGCTGTTACTGCAACAGCAATGCAAGCTTCCTATGCATAGCATATACTGTTTTTTTCAGAGGGAAGTCGGTTTTTTAAGATGATCCCTGTTTACCAAATTCATGCATCGATTAGTTTGAGTCATATCTGTACGACAATGGAGCCATATGTTTAAGCAATGGATGAACTTTGATTTAGAATCATCTTGGACTAATATTATGTATTCTAGGCTTTCCAAAATGGTGGTAAAACTGCCGACCACTTACATCTGACAGTGTATTGGACATGACATATTGTAAAAATTTCCAATTTGGTAGAATTCCTTAGTAAAATTATTAGCGATTTGAAGTTTTTGTTGAGGCATTAACTGTGTTGGAACTTCTGTTCCAGGTTCCATGTCCTCATATTTTTTATCCTGCTGAAAAATACATATCGTTGATTGTTCCTGCATTCAATGAAGAGCATAGGCTTCCTGGAGCTCTTCATGAGACCTTGAAGTGAGTTAAAGTGTAACAGTTAGTATGTGTGCATGCATGTATGTATGTTTTGTGTATATACATATAAGCATATGTTGGTCTATCATGAATTCATGATCATTATGAATGCCATTATGTTGGTCTTCTCACCATTTTGCTGTTTTTATTGAACTTTGGTTTGTTAAGAGACTTGGGACTATCTCATGAGTATTGGTTCAGCACCTAAAATCCAAGCAGTCACCAGTTTTATATTTATCTTGGAACTTTAATTGAATGTTAAATTTGTATCCAATTAATATGTTTGCTTATATGGCATCATACATTTATGCCAATTGATTACCTTCCACATAAGAAAGAAAGCCACATCACCATGTCTTGTACCAAAATTATTTTATTCCTACAAATACTGCAATTTTTTTTTTTTTGGAAAATGAATAGAAGGCAAATGATTTTATGATTCAATCAAAAGAAAACAGTTATACTTGATGTCTTTGGTATAGCACCAAAGCTTTCAGATTTTGCAAGTTGTATCCATTTAGTGGGGCACCTGCAACAAGTTTTGATTCTATAATGAGAATTTTAGCTTATTGTGACCAGTGACCACCCTGTTGGGGAATTTGCCCTCAAGTTTTATCAAAATAACATGTTCATTATTTACTCATGTTAAAACAGTGGCTTGTGAAGAGATGGGTTAAAATGATAAATCTCATATACACAGAGGTAACTGTCCCTGCATGGCTTCAACAAGGGATTTCAATTCGTATCTCTATTAATCAAAGGGGAAAAGATAACAGTAATCATGATAAGAGTTGGCTACAAAAGTCAAGCTGAATCCATAATCCATATTCATGGAGTGAATTGATTGTTAGCGATAGAATAGAACTCCTTGCCCCACCCAATCCATGAGGGGAATTGAACCTTGGTTTTGATAAGTAGTCCATAATAATGGGAATTATTGACCATATTAATGGGTTGAGTTGGATAAATTTGGAGATACAGCTCTGAAGTAGAGTTGATTAGGACAAGGCACCTTCAATTTTATATGCAATTGCATGTGACATTTATGCACACATCCACAGTCTGCGGCAGGAATAATTCTTAATATGCTTGTACAGGCCAGGATTTTCAAATTTCCTTTATAGATACCTATGTAAGGTAATCTTTAGTTGCACATATCTTTATGAAATGTTGCCAAGAGTGTAAATTAACATCACGATATTTGGATATGTCTTCTTAGTTATCTTCAACAACGTGCAGCCAAGGACAAATCATTTTCTTATGAGGTATGATATAATTCTTTCCTTGCTTATTGCTGATCTTCTAAATTGGTTTGCTGATGTGGTAGTATTGTATTAGATGTTGCTTGGAGGCCTCACATTATATCCACAATACTCTGTAGTGCATACTATTGAAATTTGATCTCGAAATTGTTAATAAGCTCATTATCTACAAATATACAGATTAAGCATGACTATCTGGTGTGTAATTTTAACCACGACCTGAAGTAGGAAGAGGAATCAACTCTAAAATTAAGGGCCAGGAGAACTTAATTCTGTCCATTTCTGATGAATAAAGCATGCAGCAGAGATAACAAGTCAAACTTGTGGAAGACATTGTGTTGTCATGGAGGTGGATTAAGATGACATGGAGAAAAGCTTTTGAGTGGTGTAGAATTATGATAATCATTTACTAAAACAGCCATGAATCACGTTATAGGATGTCAGGGTGTTGGGAAGCTATATCTTTTCAGAATGCATGGCCATTATTTATGAGCAGCATAAAGATAGAAGAAGAGCGGCCAATTTATTGAAAACCAATTACAGAAGAGGCTAGGGAAGTCATCAGAGATGATTTGACTTTCAGCAATCATGGACTAATGCCTTGGTTAGATAAATGATTTAGTTCGAGTTAAAAATGTTGATTCGACCAGAAGAAAGCAACAAGTTCAAGTTTGAGGTTGCTAGAAAAGGCCTATTGCTTTGGATTTGACCATTTATATAGCTTCACAATAGATGATTGGGGAAGAAGATAAATGTAGCTATCTCTATCGGGTGGGTTTAGGTAGTTATTGACGGAAGGTTTGAGGCCTGATGACTTTGTCTCCACCCTTTTATGTACATGTTCTGATGTGTTTAACTAACGAGTTGGAAAGGTGGCTTGTTGCAGCTACCCTTAAAGTGGCATCACATATGCAAGAATTTCCCTGCCTCATGGTGAAAACTAAGCTGACTGCAAGACTGTAACCCATTTCTAGACATTTTAAAAAATTTGTTAAATTAGACGATTGCCAACTGGGACAAACCATTGGCTTCATGTAATAATGTGAGATCAATTGGAAGCCACAAAAGCCTAAATAAATCAGCTGGAAGTTATGGCCAGTAGAGTTTTCTTACAAACAACTGGGGAACTTATTTGATCCTTTCCAGGACTTTTACTTCAATATGGAAGCTTTCCAGAATTTAGTCGTCGGGTTTGATATGGTATTATTGGGTATGGTAATCAGTTTATATGTGAAGAAAATGTTATGGGATTTCTGTGAATAAGAAATTTATTAAGGGCATACTTGGAAAGAGTGTGTCACTTCCTTCCTTTAAAGCATCAATTTCACCTTTAGTTTGTGGTATATAAAATTGATTACATTTGCATGGAATGCTCTGCCTGTCAGTGGGTCTCTAAGATTCTTATGTGGATGCATTCCTGAACAGGTGGTAGTTGTTGACGATGGAAGTGCTGATGGAACAAAGAGCGTAGCTTTTGACTTTGTAAATAAATACTCAGTAGACAATGTAAGGGTTATCCTTCTTGGAAGAAACCATGGCAAGGGGGAAGCTATAAGAAAAGTGAGTCTATTGTAAATGTTCCATTTGCTTGGAAAATTTCTTGTGGCCATTAATGGGAATAGATGTTCTGCTGTGTTCTAGTGGGCATTTGATTAAATTTATTTGCTTTGGCGAAAGCATTGTAAAACAGGGAATGCTTCATTCACGTGGTGAACTACTGATAATGCTGGATGCAGATGGGGCGACCAAGGTTAATGACCTAGAAAAACTTGAAAATCAGGTTGGTGTCGGCGTAATTATGCATGTTGTGCATATGCTCGTGCAACAGTTCCATAATATATGGTTGTCAATGATTTTTGGTTTAAGATGTCTTGAATTGATAGAATGGTTCTACAGATCACCTGATGTTTTTTGCCCATCAGATCCATGCACTTGCTAAAGAAGACGCCGTTTTGGGAATTCTTCAGCTAGTGATTTGACTTTAAGAATCTCAGATGTCCCAATTGCTGCATTTGGTTCTCGTTCTCATCTTGAGGAGAAGGCTCTAGCAACAGTTCAGTCTTGTTTTTGCTTTCTGTGTTTGACATACTTTCTGATTCACTATTCTTATTTATATTTAGATTTTTATGATTTTGCCTCAATTGAACCAGTTTACCTATGTTTCAGAGGAAGTGGTACCGCAACTTCTTGATGAAGGGTTTCCATGTTGTTGTCCTTTTGGCTGCTGGATCTGGAATTCGTGATACGCAGGTAATTTTTGTGCTTCATAAATCGATTTAAACTTATCCTGTATACTGTATAATCTTCAATTACATGGTATGTCTCCCCTTTCACGCATCATCTATTGCATTGTTAGTTAATTAAAATGTGGAAAAACCCGTAGCTTAAATTTGAGATAAGTTTGTTTCATTCTCTTGATATGGAATTTCTGTGCATCACAGTGTGGTTTTAAGATGTTTACTAGAGCTGCAGCACGGAAGCTGTTCACAAACATCCGTTTGAAAAGGTAACTAATTTTCTAATAGGGGATAATGTAATGATATTCTGTATAGTATTAGGCACTGAAAAATGTAATACGTATCATTTGTAATACTATGTTATTCTGCTATTACCATGTTGCCATTTTGCAGTAACCCTTTTCACTTGATATTATTAGTCTAGTTGTGCTGTGCGTAAAACCCCCTACAGCATCATTAGGATTGAATTTTGACTTTTTATCACTGCTTCATCCTTTATTCTATCCAATTGAACTTCCAAATGCTTACCTGTAGGGTACTCTACTATCTGTCTATCACATTTGTAATTTTTATACATATGGATTACTGGTAGGGGAGGTGGGATCGGTAAATATAAAAATCTATGGATCCGGGAAGAAAATGGGTAGAAGCTTATCTTTCAAATATTACTAGCAATAGACATTAATATGTAAAAGGAGATGTAGAAGAGGGTTACGTAGTCTTGTAGCTGCCAGTAGTGGGGCTGTTTCTGTGTATTGGGCTGCCCATCACTGTTGGTTATTAAAACATACAAAAAAAAGAGCAAAATGTATGACAGAGTGTTGTAAGAATAGAAAGAACCGACAAAAGATTTATTTACAAGTTTGAGCATGGTCCCTTTTAAGGAATGACCGTGCAAATGCTAACATGTAAAACAAGGCTATGATTGCTCCACAATCTGTTTTGTGAGTGTACCAATATTTATAAATTAAGTGTAACCAAACGTATATGTGGACAGAACTGGGGACATCCATGATGTAGCTATGAGTGAGAATAGTAGGAGTCGTGGTGTGTTTGTGATGAATCAAAATAGGAAAATTGCATCGATTCATGGTATTTGATGCAGTCTTCTACTTGCTAGGAGTCTACTAATGGATGGTCAAAAGAAGTGTTTTAGGCAAATAGGCGACATGCATGCAATGCCCAATACTTCCTGGTTAATAACTTGTTGCCTTTGAATGCATTGATTATTAATACTTTACCAAGAAAAAAAAAATGCTTCCAAGTACGTAGGNCATCGATTCATGGTATTTGATGCAGTCTTCTACTTGCTAGGAGTCTACTAATGGATGATCAAAAGAAGTGTTTTAGGCAAATAGGCGACATGCATGCAATGCCCAATACTTCCTGGTTATTAACTTGTTGCCTTTGAATGCATTGATTATTAATACTTTACCAAGAAAAAAAAAATGCTTCCAACTACGTAGGGGCACTTTTCTCCATCCCACAGTTGTCATTCAACCTTTTTGGCTTTAGGGAATGTTTCTTTTAACCATAACTTTTACCCCCACAATTAGTGGCAATTCCAAAAGGGACAAGTCTAGATACCAAACATATATATAATTAGGATCCATTGTATAGTGAATCCACACTAATTGATTATTAATACTTTACGAATCCACACTAATTCATCGCCCCAAGTATTCATGGGCTTACAAAAGCCAATAAAGTAGATTCATTGGTGTCTAAACTTGATTTGAATTTCTATTCTTCATGGGAGCTTAGCTGTTACAGAGAATTATACCGTAAGAAAATGCAAATCTAAACTTTGGCATGTTTCTTCGAAAGTTAAAATATATTTGTTCTCCCTTTTTTGATTGGTGAATTTTGTTGTTTATCAACTCTCTTCCAACTTTTTGCTCACATCTCTGATATTTTTTCTTTATAGTTATTTCGTTATTTTAATAATTATTGTGGAAGCTACTTAGCAACAATTTTTCTGCGCAGGTGGTGCTTTGATGTCGAGTTAGTCTATCTATGCAAATGTTTTCGCATCCCTATGATTGAGATATCTGTTAACTGGTCAGAAATTCCTGGATCCAAGGTAAACCCCTTAAGCATTCCCAACATGCTGTGGGAGCTGGCACTGATGTCTTTAGGATATAGGACTGGCATCTGGAAAATATATATCCGAGTCATTTAGCAATAAATCAACTTTACGCAGCATTACGTTTCAGAGCGTCACTTGATTTAATACAATGCAGAGTAAGAAGTCACATCTCCTGATTACCTTATGAATGTGCATCTGCAGCTTGTAACTTATTTGAGCTGCTAATCGAGCCAAGTCACATGTTGTTTGAATTGGCCTTGTTTACGAAACAAACCTAGAAACCCAATAAAGTTCAGTTTATTTTTGATTTAAAGGAGCCGAATGGACCGAAGAAAGGCAATTGTAGGACATGTCCGCTAAAAATTGTTGCAGATAACATGAGCATCATGACTCTGTATGGCACTAGGAGTTTTGATCGACTACATGGCCAGACGTTGACGCATATGAGTAATGAGATGGCCACCCCTTATGGGACCTGGACCTGGGCCTGGGTCTGAAGGACTATGTCTGGCTTAGATAAGATACTCCAGTAGATCATCAAATTCCCCAATTGAAAGGACCACTGCAATTGGAATGGCATTTTCGATGCTACTGCCATCATTGGGCTGTCCATTCTCTGCGGATCTATCTCCATTCTCTGCCCCTCTAATTTGAACATGTTGGTCCCGAATTCTGGTGGTGGTGAGTCAATTACTAGTGAGTGATGGTTATGGGTCTTGGTGATGGGGTGGTGATGCTGTTGTGGTTGGCGGGAAGGTTTCTTATGGGGTGTGTTTGTGTGCGTGTGGATGTTCTGTGAAAGATTTTTGGCTTAGTTCATAGTAATATGGGGACTACTGTTTGAAAATAAGCATGGGAAATGGAACAGTACAGACCTTTGTCATTTGTCATTCAATTACCAGTGTAACTGATTCCCTAGTTTGGCTTGCACCACCATTAACTGTTTTCACTGCCTTTCCAAGGTTCACCGTGAGAGCTATTGTCTTCATTGATTACCAACAGCTAAGGGTGGTAAACGAGCCGGACGAACGAATTTGAAGTCAAATTTAACAAGCTCATTTTTCAAGAGCTTAAAAAAGTGTTGAAGTTCTATCTTTTAGAACAATGAGTTACGTCTTAATTTTTTAAACGAATTTAAAAAATTATTTGAATTGAAAATGTGTCGAATTTGAGCCAAAACTGTGTCGCTCGGATCATTTCACACCCGTCAACAGCCATAAACCAGGGTCAAACAATACAAAGCCATGTCTGAATAGCCTCCGATTTAATAGATATGTAAGAAACCATTCTCTATCAAACCCTTTCTGTCAACAATGTCGTATGGGGTTTTACCTAGGGTGGCAATTTTGGGGGTTTACATAACTTAAATTTGACACAAATTTTATGATACGAATTCGATTATAACTTAACACAAATTCAATTATAATTTAACACGAACTCAGAAATGACTCAACATACAACACATGAAATATAAATAGGTCATGTTCGAATTCAATATGTCAAATCCGAAATTGACACGATCAACTCATTTATTTAAACATTTTCTCTATTTTCTCGTTTGTACGATAACACCAACAACTCGACATTAACAAATTTAACTAGTATTATACAAATAAAATGTTAATTATTTATAACTATTTATTAAACATGGATATAATTATTGTATAAAAAAATATTTTTATTTATTATTATTATTATGTTTATTCAGTTAATTTTTAGTTTGTACAAAAAATGTGAACATAAATTCAATTAAATGAAAATAGAATATTAGTGTTAAATTTTTTATTCAAAATTTATGTGAGTCAACACAAAATAAACACGACATAAAAATAAACAAATCAACTTGACATGATACAATTAAATGAATGAGTTGAATTAAAATTGACTAATATTTGACACGAACCCACAATGATCCGACATGACTCAATTGCCACTCCCTAATTTTACTTTCACCTTTTGTTAAATGGAGGTTTATGTTTTACACTCCAATAGCATTACGTTCCCCAAATGTTTTAATGCTATTATTAGAACCAATCTCCTTGCAAGCACTAAAAAATAAAGAACCTATCTCCTTGTACATTTGACAAGAATAGTATCCTGTCCAGTTAATCAGCTTCGATTCACCATCCGTACATCATTAAACCATCAAAATTGCTATACCAACAAAGAATCCCCTATTATGCAACTACACTACCATTTCTCAAACCATCCTCAAATACCTGAAAAAGAGGAAGATAAAAAGGCCCAGCACAGAAACAGTCGGAAACTTCTACATTAAATAAAATAAAAGAATCAAAAACGACCAGCAATAATCTCCTCACCCTCTCGGGGTCATCAACCCAACATAACAATAACAAATATAGAACCCATAGCTCAAATGGAAGGTAGCAACTTGCATTCCTGAACCGGTAATGGAACAACTTTTCCTCGACATTGCTGTCCTTGCACAACTAGAAGCATTTTCTATGCACGATTGATGGACCAGACTCATCATACTCTGCCTTCGCAATCCACATCTGCACTCAAATGAGCAAAATGTCCAATCAGAAATCTTACGGTAACCAGTCACATTTTAATATCAGCAAGAAGATAGACAAACCTGCTGGAAGGTGCTGAGGGATGCCAAGATGGAGCCTCCAATCCAGACACTGTACTTCCTCTCGGGAGGTGCAACCACCTTGATCTTCATGCTGCTCGGCGCTAGTGCAGTGATTTCCTTGCTCATTCTATCAGCAATGCCCGGGAACATGGTTGAACCACCACTGAGTACAATGTTGCCATAAAGGTCTTTCCTGATATCAACATCACACTTCATGATCGAGTTGTATGTGGTCTCGTGGATTCCTGCTGCTTCCATTCCAATCATTGAAGGCTGGAAGAGGACCTCAGGGCATCGGAAACGTTCAGCACCAATGGTGATCACCTGCCCATCAGGCAGCTCATAACTCTTCTCAACTGCAGAGCTAGTCTTGGAAGTCTCTAGCTCCTGCTCATAGTCAAGGGCAATGTATGCAAGCTTTTCCTTCATGTCCCTCACAATTTCACGCTCAGCTGTGGTGGTGAAAGAATACCCACGCTCGGTGAGGATTTTCATCAAGCTATCGGTGAGGTCACGACCAGCCAAGTCAAGACGGAGGATGGCATGCGGGAGGGCATACCCCTCATAAATGGGTACTGTGTGGCTGACACCATCACCAGAATCCAGCACAATACCTGCACATGAATTAAAGCAGTTATGGATCTATATGGGCAAATCTCATTGCTTACATTAAAACAACACCAAACAAAAACATTCAAGATATCCTCAAGTAATCAACTAAAGAAGAGAAATGGGCAGAAGAAAGGTATGGTTTAGCATGCAATTGTCATATGACCAAAACTTCATCATTTGGTGCAAATCCAACCAGGAAACCTCACCCAATTCCACTTAAATGCCACACCATCTCCACAGTCTATCCCAATTACAAACACGTGGCAAAGGCAGAGGTTGTAGACTTCTTCCATCTAGTTGAATATGTTCAATTCCAGGTTTTCAAAATGGTCATACCAGAACTAGTTGGATAGCTCTAGAAGCCGTACTCAGTTCATTAATTTATTGAAAATCACGAAATACTTACCAGTTGTACGACCACTGGCATACAGGGAAAGAACAGCCTGGATGGCAACATACATGGCAGGTGTGTTAAATGTCTCAAACATGATTTGAGTCATCTTTTCACGATTAGCCTTGGGGTTGAGTGGTGCTTCAGTAAGGAGAACAGGGTGCTCTTCAGGGGCAACACGGAGCTCGTTGTAGAACGTGTGATGCCATATCTTCTCCATGTCATCCCAATTGCTTACAATACCATGCTCAATTGGGTACTTTAGAGTCAAAATACCTCTCTTGGATTGAGCCTCATCTCCAACATATGCATCTTTTTGGCCCATGCCAACCATCACACCAGTATGACGGGGGCGTCCTACAATGCTAGGGAACACAGCCCGCGGAGCATCATCTCCAGCAAATCCCGCCTACAATATAAAACATAACATTCACTTCTTACAGACTTATGACAAGAAAGAGGCAAACAACTAAGCACAACTATCACAAGTATTTCATAAATCAAACTGTAAGCACTCTATCAAGCACAGAAAGATATTTAAGTTGGTACCTTAACCATGCCTGTCCCATTGTCGCACACAAGTGGCTGAATGTCCTCTGATTCTGCCATCTTACGCTATCTGGTTAATAAAATGCAACTTTAGTGAGAATAATGAGCTTCCGCTGAAAATTATTAAGAAAATTAGAGAAGTAGGCATCGTATTGATCAAATAAGTGCACAAACCAGTGGTGCTATTGTAAAATAGACAAATCACAAAAATCAATTGCATAGAAGCCCAATATAAGCCAAAAATAACAATAATAAGTTGCCCCAAACCTATGAAGCACAGATACTTCTCCAAGTTCGACGTACCCGTATTGGATATTATCCTTGTCGGATATTCGAGGAGACATATCGGATACGTATCATACATATCTGATAATTAATAAAATATGTAGATACTTGCAGATATTTCTACACATGGAGCAAGTATACAATTTTTAATTTTAATTTTAATCTACACCATTTCCTTTCTAGTTTACATACAACATAAAATATCAACAAAGTTTGATTTGACTTTCAAGATACAAGTGTTTTTTTTAGTATTATCTACTAANATAATTAATAAAATATGTAGATACTTGCAGATATTTCTACACATGGAGCAAGTATACAATTTTTAATTTTAATTTTAATTTTAATCTACACCATTTCCTTTCGAGTTTACATACAACATAAAATATCAACAAAGTTTGATTTGACTTTCAAGATACAAAGTGTTTTTTTTAGTATTATCTACTAATACATATTAAAAGAGTATAAAAGAATGAGTTAGTTACACTATACCTTAGAAACAAATAATTGTAAGCAAACCAATTAGTTAAATATTGCTTCTAATTCCTTTATTTGGTCATGTTCACTTTATGGATATATCATAACCGGAAAATATTACACATTTTTCAAGGTAAAAATCACTAATTTTGTTTACTATCGTTAAAGAATTACAAAAAACTATAATTTTTAAATTGTTAAATAATAGTAAAATATAAAATATTACAAAAAATTATAATTTTTAAATTGTTAAATAATAGTAAAATATAATATATATTTTATTATAAATCTATCTCAGAAGTTTTGTAGCCATATCATGTCGTACCCGTATCCATATTTCCTAACCCCAGACACTCCTCAATAAGGGATTTTATGAAGCACTCATGGACATACCATGGATACAAGGTGGCTCCACTGCTTTTGTTGAAGCAGTCTATTCTAACAATCTTTTCCCTTGAATTCAAAAAAAGTAGCTTACAAGCAAACCAAATAAACAATAGACGAGACGTATAATACCCAAACGACAGACAAGTTTAAACAAATCCCTTTACAGACGCAAAGGCTTGAAGAGCCTTCGAATGAAAATTATCCATTTTATACATCGACAAGACACACAAAGCTAATATCGAAATATAACATAGATTACATAGATTACATAGATCGATTAATGTAATCTAATATCGAAATATAACACAATGCTAATATCGAAATATAACATAGATTACCGAAAGAAAAACACATACATTCAATTTTACCACAATGTACAGCCATTAACAGATGGCAGAGCATAAGAATACAAAGATCGATTAATATTCCCCCCAAAAGAAAAAAAAAATACGATCTATACACCGACAATTCATATACCACAATGCTAACAACATATATCGGCGACAGATATATCAACAAAATATACTAACCAATTCAAAACATAGAGAATCACATGCAAAAACATCAACGATCAAATTCAATTATATATGAATCTACCTTGCAATGAACAGGCTAATGGATCTATGGATCCAAAGCTAATATAGATATATCAGCACCGCATGAATGGAGAATGTGAACGTAATTTACCTTTGGACACCTAGAATTGGCGTTGTACGTAGAGAGAGAAACGGTCGCCGGCGAATGATGCCGAGAGAGAGAGAGAGAGATATAGTAGGCACGNTGCAATGAACAGGCTAATGGATCTATGGATCCAAAGCTAATATAGATATATCAGCACCGCATGAATGGAGAATGTGAACGTAATTTACCTTTAGACACCTAGAATTGGCGTTGTATGTAGAGAGAGAAACGGTCGCCGGCGAATGATGCCGAGAGAGAGAGAGAGAGATATAGTAGGCACAAATGGAACTCAATCCAGGAATGAGAAATGGTGGGTTATATGAAAAGAGAGAGTCGATCTGGACCGTCGGATTGTTCTACTAACAGTCTGGATGTACGAACACGGGAACACGTCGTGGGTGTTATGATGAGTGAGTGGTGGCCAATGCTCTAATTCCGATTTTCTAGTCATTTTCATTTTTTTGGAATATTTTAAAATAATTTTTTAATGATATATATATATATATATATATATATATGTATTATTTTTTTATTTTTAAGAATTCTAATTTTTGAGGTAGTAATTCTTTGGCAGGAGTATTTTCTTTTTTTGTTGGTTTACATTTTCTAATGTTTTGGTTTATTGGGCTACTGCGACTATGGGTGTTAATCTTGACAAACTATTCGAATAGGATTCAAGTCAACTTGTGATGGGCTGAGTTTGAATATTTTTTTAGATTATTTTAGNAAAATAATTTTTTAATGATATATATATATATATATGTATTATTTTTTTATTTTTAAGAATTCTAATTTTTGAGGTAGTAATTCTTTGGCAGGAGTATTTTCTTTTTTTGTTGGTTTACATTTTCTAATGTTTTGGTTTATTGGGCTACTGCGACTATGGGTGTTAATCTTGACAAACTATTCGAATAGGATTCAAGTCAGCTTGTGATGGGCTGAGTTTGAATATTTTTTTAGGTTATTTTAAAAAAACAAGCTTAAAAGACTCGATTGAAATTTATAAAATTCAGTTCGTATATATATAAAATAGTCAAGTTACTTAGATTCGGATTCAGTACAAGTTCTAAATGAGTTGAATTTGAACAATTTTTTAAATTTGTTTAAAAAAAACAAGTTCACCAAGCTCAAGTTCAAACTCGTAAAATTTAATTTTCATCTGCTTTAATCTAATTTTCATTTACTTTGATCTAATAATAAAAATTCATTTTAAAAATTATTTTTCTACTCAAAAACATCAACTCTTCTATACGCCGCTAATATATGACAACTCAATCAACACATCAACTTACACTTACTTCTCTCTTTATTTTAATTTTAAATTACATAATTTAAAAAAAGTAAATTATTATTTATATATAAAATATTATAAAAATATTTTATTTTTGATATGGTATAATATCTTTAGACATAAGATTATTACTAATATCTTATATAACCAAACTCGCCCATTTCATAAAGTATTTGACCTGATTTAACTACAGATACCCAATCTTCGAGAGATCTTTTTTTCGAATCCCTTATATATCTATTTTTCGTATGTCTTACTGTAACTGATTTGTCTGAAAATAAATATACCCATATTTTTTCGTAGGATCATTACTCTTAACTTTTATTTCCTTTTAACCGGTAAATTCAACAACGTAAATTTTTGGATGTAAAAAATTATAAATTGTACACATCGAATTAGTTAGAATTTCAATTTAAGATCTCAAGATAATGACTTCAACACGTTACTATCTACAAGCAAATTAACGTAAGAATAAAAGTCAAATGTTTGTGGGGTGTGGAGATTGATATAATTGCAAATACAAGCTTTCCACTTTTTTTTCAAGTCCATGGTTGGGGTGGGGTGGGGTGGGTCTAGGAAACCCTACACTTTTTAATGAATGCATTGATTTTTAATACTTTACCAAGAAAAAAAAAATGCTTCCAACTAGGTAGGGGCACTTTTCTCCATCCCACAGTTGTCATTCAACCTTTTTGGCTTTAGGGAATGTTTCTTTTAACCATAACTTTTACCCCCACAATTAGTGGCAATTACAAAAGGGACAAGTCTAGATACTGAACATATATATATATATATATATATATATTATATATATATATATATATATAATTAGGATCCATCGTAAAGTGAAAAAAATAATTACCACCATCCAGGAACTGCACATTATGAGTTTTCTAACCATTAGCATGAACACCACAAATATAAGTTCTTAAGTAACAGGTCGCAAATACAGAAGCTCCCAACTTTCTGCAGTGCTTTGCCCAAGAGCCATGATGTAACGGATTCAAATTTCAGCAAACGAAGACACAAATAGTTGGCAAATCAAAGATGTAAAGCCCCATAACAGGACTGTAACAAGTAAAAGACCAAGGGCACTACTCGCATAATCCGATAGAAGGGGAGAAACAGAAAACAAAAAACAAAAAAAAAGTAAGAAAATGAGACTATGTCCTGACAAAGCAGAATAATGGGAACTGTGTCTAACAATTGATTAACTGAAATCTCTGAGATCAGGGAAGAAGAACAAGTCCTTCATGGCCCTTATGGGCTGTGAGACACACGTGAAGATTTGATCCATTTTTAGCACAAATTAATGAGAACTGCAGAAGTTTGAACTTCTTTTACCATTATACGAACGGCAGGCTTGCTAATCTCCTCTACAGGAATGGGGGTAGTATCACCCATCGTCGAGGATACTTGGGTCTTCCTTCCTTCCCATCAAATAACTGCTAGGAAAAGGTATCACATCAAGATGCAAAATCAGAGAAAGAGGAGATGAGAACATTCCTCAACTTTGCAATAATGTCAATTGATAATGCAGACACACATTACCTTCCAAAAAACACAAAAAGATAAAGCAGAGACACATCATGATAATCAGTGTTAAGATATAGGATTTATATGATCCAAAAACACCCTATAATTTTCTATAGATGCTGGTTCTCCACCATGCTCACAGAGTGACAGCTAGTCTAGATAGGTGTTCTAATTTAATCAGAGACTACTTCTATGGGAAATTGGCCTATAATTCAATTCCAAAAAGAAAATAGCGAAATGAATCCAAGAACTATTAAATCTGGATAGAATTCACATCAAACTTTGTATTCCAGTTTGGGAAATTGCCTCACAAGAGCCTTAAACAAGCAAGCTATCAGTGACAGAACCAGGATTCTATCCCAAGGAGAGCCAAACAATGGCATATATAAAAATTTTATTAACTAGATAAACAGTTATATAAAATTTATCAAAATTAACTTTCATCATACAATACAATTGTAAAAATAAGTTTGGGTTGTAAAATCCAAAGATGAGTTCTTACTATCTTAAAAATTAGTTTGTGACAATGTCATGATCCTTTCATTTCCACATTAAGATATTCTATAATATCTTGAAAATAATTTATTCTCGCAAATAATAATTTCACATGGAAAGATAAAGTTGAGTTATGAATCAACATATTTTTTATAATGAGTCACATTTATAATCTAGTTTTACAAAAAATTTACTCTTTTTTTAACTTCATTTGATCATCAAGCTCATCTAACCAAATATCTTCAGGTATAAAACCATCCCTCATCCATAGGTTACATCCCCTATTTGACTATTAAATATCAATTTCTTGGTCTTTTCAAATACACCAAGTAATATGTCTGTGCATAAAGCTTTTTAGAACCTAAAGAGAAACATAGGATTTTTCTAAAACTTATTGGGTGTTATAGGAATTTTTGAAAAATTAATTGGGGCCATGGCCACCCTAGGCCCCTTCTTTGTTCCGCCCATGCAAGCAATGCCAGGTAAACAGGCTGGAGATCAAAAAAAGGCATGCAATGCTTACAGAATTCCTCTGAATAAACATTGTTATACATGCATTTGCAGTGGTGGTACATTGGCTATCAAAGATAGGGCATACTATAAAGGAAACTTACATGGAAGGAGAGATTTATGTACACAGAAACAAATTAGAAGGTTTGTTACAAATATATATTCCTAGATGCATGCTTGTGGCCTTACTACATCTTGTTACGTCTTCAGAAAAAGAGGGGACATCAGATAACAAATACCATCTGCCATTAGCAGACAATTTAGTTTTGCCTGGGTGTGTATGCATGTGCATTCACACAATAAGCATCCTAGCTGACGGCCAGGATAATAGTCAAATCAGAGCCTAGTTCAATACATGCTTTCCTAGTCAGATTCTGACAACCTAGATCCAATGAAACAACTCGATTGGTGTGCCTAGATAAATCTCAACGCATTTTTAGCACATGCAAAAACTGGAATTTTTCTAGTTAAGCAACAAAGAAAAGAAATTTACCCTCTTCAAACGGCGGTGCTTTGCAAGTGCCCAGTTAGTCATGATGGCAGCAGCAACCACCATAAAGATATAGCCTGCAACAGTCTGCGTTGCAATATTGAAGCCCAACCACTGATAAATCTCTGTTGTGTAATTTGCACAGGTCACAATATTGAACAAAAACCCACTTGGGATTTGGTATCCTCTGCTCCCACTGGGACTCCGAAGATTTCTCAGCAAGATATGGCAATAAAAGTTTGCAACTTGACAAACCAACCCAAATCCAAATCCAATCTTCATTTGGAGATCATTTACAGGGGTATAAAGTGGATGATTTACATAGTAGGCAATATAAGCGCCAAAGGTCCAGTAGTAAGCACAGTTCCGGAATACATTGGAAAGTGGTGAGGTTGCATGGCTGAAACGATGCACAAAAAATGTTTCCATGATACGTTTAAAGTAGTGGAAGCACCAATAGTACAAGGCATATGTCTGAACTGGGTGGATGGTGCGCTCTCCCCCATAGCCAAAGTACCGGTACACAGGTAAGTAGTAGAAGATGGGATAGATGACCAAAGGACCCAAGTACTCGCAGAAGAAGAGTGTACGATAGGAAACTTGTGGACCCAGGTCTTTGAACACTACAGTTAACTGGTTGTTGTTGCCATCGCTGTACTCTTTGAGACTTTTCTTGTATTGAAGGACTGTAGGTTTCTCTTTGGATCCCGGTTGGAGAGGAATGGTAAGTCGCTGTCTAGAAGGATAGTATTTCTTGGCTGTTGAAAACAGACATGTATTTCAGATTAAAGTAATCATATGAAACAAAGAACAAGGATTTCTTTTCTTTTCTTTTCATGGGAGCTCAAACTCAAACAAGCAAAGGAACCCATAAGAATAACCACATAACTAGTACTAAAAGATTTGATTATTAACTACTAGCGTCAATCCATTTGGGGTAGGCACTATTCTGCTGAAAATATATTTCCAGCGAGTCAGCAACTACAATTTCAAGGAAAAATATTCTGATATTCTTCTCTATGTGCATAAATTACATTTGAGATAAGAACAAAGAACATGAACATCTACAGATTCAACCGTCAGCAAATGGTAGTTCTCCCCCCTTGCAAAATGCTTAGTTCTAGACAAATTGTTAAAAAACACATGTTGGAATCACAAGGAGATGCCAACATGAATGTCAAAAACTCGGCCTCCACAGTAGACTTAACAGTCAGATCTTCTGCATTTGCAAAAAATGCAGCTAGAATTTGTGCACTTATGTCATGTAGACCATGATTTGGAGCTTTCACGCCAAACTAAAGCTAAAAGGAGCATCCAAATTGATCAAAATTATGACTGCAACATGAAATGAAGCATGATAGAGGAAGCATCAAGTGAAGAGAGGAAGCCGAGAAGAAGTTTTCTCCACTGTGCAACAAATGACATCAAGAAGGACTTGGGAGTTGATCAAGGAAAATCTTCCATAGATTAATAATTATAACTGTGGATGACAGAAAAAATACGGAATTCTCTTTTTGTCCTATGATTCTAATATATAGAATGCAACAGCTAAGATACAACACGCCTAAGGGCATCTCCAGTGTTGACTCAAACTCAAACTTAAATTTGAGTAAAAAAAATGAGTAAAGCTTGATTTGGTATGAACCTCTCCGATGGATAAATCAAATTTAAACTCAAATCTTTTTATAAAATTCCATGTTATCCCAAAAAACTCATTTCTTTAAATTTTTGCCACAAACATCATAGAAAATGACTCCATGAATGATCGCATAGATCAGTCCACAGAATCAAGACAAGCACCCAAAAAACAAAAATCAATAGAATCCAATAGGTTTGATTTTGGCGAGGCAACAAAGAGAAGACAAGAGAAGAAGGTTTGGTTTTGACGGGGACCGATGGACACAGGAGCAAGAGAGAAGAGAGTTGTGTTTTTGGTAAAAGGTTTGGTATTCCCTCCATTTGAGTCAAGAAAAAGATTTCCTTTTTTTGATATAGGTTTGAGTCAAAACTTGGAGATGATTTTTAAGGGTTTTTTACTTAAATTTAAATTTGAGTTTGAGTAAGGAGTGGAGATGGCCTAAGCATGAAACGATCCTCATAGTCAAAAAAATCATTTTCCTTAAACAATGTTTTGTGATCATTTAACCATGAAGAATAGACAACCCTAGCCGAAATTCCCCTTAAAATACCTTTTTAAACCAACTAACTTCACTCCTATACCATACTAGCACAATTAATGATATGATATTTGCCCACAAAAAGCTTCACAATTTCAATCTACAGTAGTAATTACATGCAGTTGGATTTGTGTTTCTTCCTGGTTGTACCAGCCATATGTCTTGTTGAAATAATCCATACAAGCTTTCAACTCAACAAGATCTCCCACCCATTTGGGGGTGACCTGAGCAAACCACTCTTTTATTGCAGAATTTCATTGTAACATTCATAAGCCTTGAAATCCTACGCAAAGGCAAGAGGAGAATGGTGACAAAACCACTGTATGCTTTGCCTGCCCCATTCACAGATTAAAAATTACAGAAAAAAGATTTCATGTACACCAAGGATGAAGCCAGTGTAAGTCATGGGCCCCCTGAGATTTGAGATCCCATATTTGCCTTGCACAACCCCCACCCATTTTTTTTTTCCAGCTATTTGCAACCTAGTTCCGAAATTTTTTCGGGGTATACATCAAATGTATTTTAAGTGCTTCCAACTTCCAATAGAATTTACAATTTACAAATTTAAGGCTATAATCCAGACTAGGCAAAAAGAAAATGCTTGCAATATTTTTCTTTCTTATAAGAAGTGTTTACTCCTACAGAACAACTGGGTTCATATACCATTTATACTATTGGACTACCTTACCTTAAAAGGTTAGAACTGAGCATTTATTTGATGATTTTAAAGTGTCCGCCATTAGCCACCCGAACCAAACCCAAATCCACTAATTTCGTATCAATTTCGTGCCGGTGAGCGGGTCCTGTATATAACTGCCCGGCCTCGCTGGGCAATACAAACGGGACAGCCGTCACTCGCCCTCCGAATGAATCCCAGATTTATCATACGACTAACTACAGATTTCACCAGCTAAACTAGCTCACATCTTCCTCAATAAAAAAAATAAAAATAACAGCAAATAATAGAACCCTTATAAGAACTACTCACTTCGCTTGTAAATTGCCTCCTGCAGATCATCCACAGTAGCCTGCATAGTCACCCAAATACAAAAGCCACTCGCAAATTCAGAAACACATAAAAAGAGACCGAAATGAAGATTTGTAGCTTAAATTATGAAAACGAAAGCAGAACCATACCGAATCATCGAGCTCAAGGCCACCCTTGATGAATTCTCTGCCGCTTCTTGTAGTGACAGACACCTTCATCTTTGAAACTAAGAACGACCCAGTTCAAGAAACAGACAAAACAACGACCCCTCTCCAGATCTACGAAAGAGAGAGTCCGAGAACTGCGTATAAATTGGTTGCGACTTGCGAAGGCTGAGTATGGTTATGGTTGGGGTAGATGACCGAACCAGATGGGACGGATGAGACGATGGGGGTAACCTGGGGGTGTGATGGGGCCTACATACCATGCCATGAATCGAATTTTGTTCGGAATCCAATTTAAATATAAATTTAATTATTCAGATATGAATTAATATTTTTATTCATAATTTAAACTTAAATTCAAATTCTCTATCCAATATTTCAAGAATTTTTATATTTTTATATTTTTTTTGGCAACAGAGGAATAACGGTGGAAGACTTGAGCCAATTTTATGAAAAATTTTAGTCATCAACATCACGGTCAGATAGTTACAATCAAATGACAAGTGCGGCTAGAAAATAGTGTGCACACGCAGGACGCTTCTGGCGACCTGGCATGCGCACGGGGCAAATGTAGTACTCGAAAAACTTCAAGACATATGTCTCTATTATAACAGGACAAGTGACAACGATTATCAATTGACATGGAAAATGGGGGCCCGACAGAGTTGAGCTGGACTAGTATAGACAACGGTGACAAGTGCGATGCCCCCTAGCGCGACGCCCTTTTGCGGGAATGGTATTGTAGAAGTATGGGGGCAACCTCGGGAAGACTCGCCTCTCCTACTACTAGAATGGTATCCTCAACCGTTGCTCGACTAGCCTACTAGACTAAGAGGTGTCTCCACCTAGGGACAGGGGAGTATGACCCTCCTCAAGGGAGAATCGAACAATAGNCATCATACAATACAATTGTAAAAATAAGTTTGGGTTGTAAAATCCAAAGATGAGTTCTTACTATCTTAAAAATTAGTTTGTGACAATGTCATGATCCTTTCATTTCCACATTAAGATATTCTATAATATCTTGAAAATAATTTATTCTCGCAAATAATAATTTCACATGGAAAGATAAAGTTGAGTTATGAATCAACATATTTTTTATAATGAGTCACATTTATAATCTAGGTTTGCAAAAAATTTACTCTTTTTTTAACTTCATTTGATCATCAAGCTCATCTAACCAAATATCTTCAGGTATAAAACCATCCCTCATCCATAGGTTACATCCCCTATTTGACTATTAAATATCAATTTCTTGGTCTTTTCAAATACACCAAGTAATATGTCTGTGCATAAAGCTTTTTAGAACCTAAAGAGAAACATAGGATTTTTCTAAAACTTATTGGGTGTTATAGGAATTTTTGAAAAATTAATTGGGGCCATGGCCACCCTAGGCCCCTTCTTTGTTCCGCCCATGCAAGCAATGCCAGGTAAACAGGCTGGAGATCAAAAAAAGGCATGCAATGCTTACAGAATTCCTCTGAATAAACATTGTTATACATGCATTTGCAGTGGTGGTACATTGGCTATCAAAGATAGGGCATACTATAAAGGAAACTTACATGGAAGGAGAGATTTATGTACACAGAAACAAATTAGAAGGTTTGTTACAAATATATATTCCTAGATGCATGCTTGTGGCCTTACTACATCTTGTTACGTCTTCAGAAAAAGAGGGGACATCAGATAACAAATACCATCTGCCATTAGCAGACAATTTAGTTTTGCCTGGGTGTGTATGCATGTGCATTCACACAATAAGCATCCTAGCTGACGGCCAGGATAATAGTCAAATCAGAGCCTAGTTCGATACATGCTTTCCTAGTCAGATTCTGACAACCTAGATCCAATGAAACAACTCGATTGGTGTGCCTAGATAAATCTCAACGCATTTTTAGCACATGCAAAAACTGGAATTTTTCTAGTTAAGCAACAAAGAAAAGAAATTTACCCTCTTCAAACGGCGGTGCTTTGCAAGTGCCCAGTTAGTCATGATGGCAGCAGCAACCACCATAAAGATATAGCCTGCAACAGTCTGCGTTGCAATATTGAAGCCCAACCACTGATAAATCTCTGTTGTGTAATTTGCACAGGTCACAATATTGAACAAAAACCCACTTGGGATTTGGTATCCTCTGCTCCCACTGGGACTCCGAAGATTTCTCAGCAAGATATGGCAATAAAAGTTTGCAACTTGACAAACCAACCCAAATCCAAATCCAATCTTCATTTGGAGATCATTTACAGGGGTATAAAGTGGATGATTTACATAGTAGGCAATATAAGCGCCAAAGGTCCAGTAGTAAGCACAGTTCCGGAATACATTGGAAAGTGGTGAGGTTGCATGGCTGAAACGATGCACAAAAAATGTTTCCATGATACGTTTAAAGTAGTGGAAGCACCAATAGTACAAGGCATATGTCTGAACTGGGTGGATGGTGCGCTCTCCCCCATAGCCAAAGTACCGGTACACAGGTAAGTAGTAGAAGATGGGGTAGATGACCAAAGGACCCAAGTACTCGCAGAAGAAGAGTGTACGATAGGAAACTTGTGGACCCAGGTCTTTGAACACTACAGTTAACTGGTTGTTGTTGCCATCGCTGTACTCTTTGAGACTTTTCTTGTATTGAAGGACTGTAGGTTTCTCTTTGGATCCCGGTTGGAGAGGAATGGTAAGTCGCTGTCTAGAAGGATAGTATTTCTTGGCTGTTGAAAACAGACATGTATTTCAGATTAAAGTAATCATATGAAACAAAGAACAAGGATTTCTTTTCTTTTCTTTTCATGGGAGCTCAAACTCAAACAAGCAAAGGAACCCATAAGAATAACCACATAACTAGTACTAAAAGATTTGATTATTAACTACTAGCGTCAATCCATTTGGGGTAGGCACTATTCTGCTGAAAATATATTTCCAGCGAGTCAGCAACTACAATTTCAAGGAAAAATATTCTGATATTCTTCTCTATGTGCATAAATTACATTTGAGATAAGAACAAAGAACATGAACATCTACAGATTCAACCGTCAGCAAATGGTAGTTCTCCCCCCTTGCAAAATGCTTAGTTCTAGACAAATTGTTAAAAAACACATGTTGGAATCACAAGGAGATGCCAACATGAATGTCAAAAACTCGGCCTCCACAGTAGACTTAACAGTCAGATCTTCTGCATTTGCAAAAAATGCAGCTAGAATTTGTGCACTTATGTCATGTAGACCATGATTTGGAGCTTTCACGCCAAACTAAAGCTAAAAGGAGCATCCAAATTGATCAAAATTATGACTGCAACATGAAATGAAGCATGATAGAGGAAGCATCAAGTGAAGAGAGGAAGCCGAGAAGAAGTTTTCTCCACTGTGCAACAAATGACATCAAGAAGGACTTGGGAGTTGATCAAGGAAAATCTTCCATAGATTAATAATTATAACTGTGGATGACAGAAAAAATACGGAATTCTCTTTTTGTCCTATGATTCTAATATATAGAATGCAACAGCTAAGATACAACACGCCTAAGGGCATCTCCAGTGTTGACTCAAACTCAAACTTAAATTTGAGTAAAAAAAATGAGTAAAGCTTGATTTGGTATGAACCTCTCCGATGGATAAATCAAATTTAAACTCAAATCTTTTTATAAAATTCCATGTTATCCCAAAAAACTCATTTCTTTAAATTTTTGCCACAAACATCATAGAAAATGACTCCATGAATGATCGCATAGATCAGTCCACAGAATCAAGACAAGCACCCAAAAAACAAAAATCAATAGAATCCAATAGGTTTGATTTTGGCGAGGCAACAAAGAGAAGACAAGAGAAGAAGGTTTGGTTTTGACGGGGACCGATGGACACAGGAGCAAGAGAGAAGAGAGTTGTGTTTTTGGTAAAAGGTTTGGTATTCCCTCCATTTGAGTCAAGAAAAAGATTTCCTTTTTTTGATATAGGTTTGAGTCAAAACTTGGAGATGATTTTTAAGGGTTTTTTACTTAAATTTAAATTTGAGTTTGAGTAAGGAGTGGAGATGGCCTAAGCATGAAACGATCCTCATAGTCAAAAAAATCATTTTCCTTAAACAATGTTTTGTGATCATTTAACCATGAAGAATAGACAACCCTAGCCGAAATTCCCCTTAAAATACCTTTTTAAACCAACTAACTTCACTCCTATACCATACTAGCACAATTAATGATATGATATTTGCCCACAAAAAGCTTCACAATTTCAATCTACAGTAGTAATTACATGCAGTTGGATTTGTGATTCTTCCTGGTTTTACCAGCCATATGTCTTGTTGAAATAATCCATACAAGCTTTCAACTCAACAAGATCTCCCACCCATTTGGGGGTGACCTGAGCAAACCACTCTTTTATTGCAGAATTTCATTGTAACATTCATAAGCCTTGAAATCCTACGCAAAGGCAAGAGGAGAATGGTGACAAAACCACTGTATGCTTTGCCTGCCCCATTCACAGATTAAAAATTACAGAAAAAAGATTTCATGTACACCAAGGATGAAGCCAGTGTAAGTCATGGGCCCCCTGAGATTTGAGATCCCATATTTGCCTTGCACAACCCCCACCCATTTTTTTTTTCCAGCTATTTGCAACCTAGTTCCGAAATTTTTTCGGGGTATACATCAAATGTATTTTAAGTGCTTCCAACTTCCAATAGAATTTACAATTTACAAATTTAAGGCTATAATCCAGACTAGGCAAAAAGAAAATGCTTGCAATATTTTTCTTCCTTATAAGAAGTGTTTACTCCTACAGGACAACTGGGTTCATATACCATTTATATAATTGAACACTTAAGGTAAACTAATTATTAAAATTGGTACTTTAAAAGGAAAAAAAATCTTAAGATTTTCCGTGGTTGATCTATTCTAGACTATTGGACTACCTTACCTTAAAAGGTTAGAACTGAGCATTTATTTGATGATTTTAAAGTGTCCGCCATTAGCCACCCGAACCAAACCCAAATCCACTAATTTCGTATCAATTTCGTGCCGGTGAGCGGGTCCTGTATATAACTGCCCGGCCTCGCTGGGCAATACAAACGGGACAGCCGTCACTCGCCCTCCGAATGAATCCCAGATTTATCATACGACTAACTACAGATTTCACCAGCTAAACTAGCTCACATCTTCCTCAATAAAAAAAATAAAAATAACAGCAAATAATAGAACCCTTATAAGAACTACTCACTTCGCTTGTAAATTGCCTCCTGCAGATCATCCACAGTAGCCTGCATAGTCACCCAAATACAAAAGCCACTCGCAAATTCAGAAACACATAAAAAGAGACCGAAATGAAGATTTGTAGCTTAAATTATGAAAACGAAAGCAGAACCATACCGAATCATCGAGCTCAAGGCCACCCTTGATGAATTCTCTGCCGCTTCTTGTAGTGACAGACACCTTCATCTTTGAAACTAAGAACGACCCAGTTCAAGAAACAGACAAAACAACGACCCCTCTCCAGATCTACGAAAGAGAGAGTCCGAGAACTGCGTATAAATTGGTTGCGACTTGCGAAGGCTGAGTATGGTTATGGTTGGGGTAGATGACCGAACCAGATGGGACGGATGAGACGATGGGGGTAACCTGGGGGTGTGATGGGGCCTACATACCATGCCATGAATCGAATTTTGTTCGGAATCCAATTTAAATATAAATTTAATTATTCAGATATGAATTAATATTTTTATTCATAATTTAAACTTAAATTCAAATTCTCTATCCAATATTTCAAGAATTTTTATATTTTTATATTTTTTTTGGCAACAGAGGAATAACGGTGGAAGACTTGAGCCAATTTTATGAAAAATTTTAGTCATCAACATCACGGTCAGATAGTTACAATCAAATGACAAGTGCGGCTAGAAAATAGTGTGCACACGCAGGACGCTTCTGGCGACCTGGCATGCGCACGGGGCAAATGTAGTACTCGAAAAACTTCAAGACATATGTCTCTATTATAACAGGACAAGTGACAACGATTATCAATTGACATGGAAAATGGGGGCCCGACAGAGTTGAGCTGGACTAGTATAGACAACGGTGACAAGTGCGATGCCCCCTAGCGCGACGCCCTTTTGCGGGAATGGTATTGTAGAAGTATGGGGGCAACCTCGGGAAGACTCGCCTCTCCTACTACTAGAATGGTATCCTCAACCGTTGCTCGACTAGCCTACTAGACTAAGAGGTGTCTCCACCTAGGGACAGGGGAGTATGACCCTCCTCAAGGGAGAATCGAACAATAGGGGGTGAGCGAGTATGATTGTTAGTCTCGGTCTGGGGCAGAGTTTCGAAGGTTTAGTCTGCTCAAGCAGACCTCCCAGTGTATGACTCACTGCCCGCTGGGATGTGCTTTACTGGGATCCGGAGAGACTCCTAAGGTAACTGAGGTTATTGGTCTGTATCAGCATATGGGATGATGAGACATATGGATTGGTGGCTGAAGGATCAAAACTATGTGGGTTTCCTTTATTGGGCACCTCGGCAAAAGTATCGAGGAAGGGTTTAGAGAGGGAAAGAAGGACCCCGGGTTGGAGTGCGTTGGAGGCACGCGGGCATGGTCCTCTCGAGGTCATGGTCCCACGGTGACCAGTCACAGTCATGGACCTTGGGAGCCCTTTCTCACCTTGGCTGTCACACCTTCCTTAGGGTCACGTACAGATTGCGTTTGGGAAAACATCATATCTGCCTAGTTGTGGGTTAGCGCGAGTGATAGGGGGTCGTGGCGGGCAGCCCTTTGGGCAGGCCGACCTACCCGAGCACTGTGCTATAAATACCCATATTACTTGCTCACTACGGGAGATGGTTTTTTTGGCAGGTGAAAACACTTTTCACCTACCCTCTACTCAACTGGTTCGTCTCTTCGTTAACAGGTCGCTCGAGTTCCTTCCATCCTATTCACTTATTCTACTCACCCCCTTCTATTACACTTGGCAAAACACACGTATGTCAACCTCTTTTAACTCCCCATCTACAATCTTCGTATTCAATATCCCGAAGAACTCTCCCATCATATATTCCCTTCTCTATCTGCACCTTCGCACATACATTATTCGCATCTACTGCTACCAACCTTGCAGTTGATCCACGATATGCACCATTAACTATCCTCACAAGGCCTCTAATTTGGGGGAATCACAGTTTCAAGCTCTTCCTGAACCACCCTCAACACATGCCTACTCTCAAGCATCTCAATTTCCCCAACATACTTATCAATCACCTTACGGACAATTCCCTTTTGCTTATAGTAACCCTATTCAGCCAATGTCTTACTAACTACCTTCACTATAGTTCCTTCAAACAACCAGTAATCCTTCCTGTTGCTTCGCTATTTCGCCTTCTCCTGTTCTCTTATCAATTCATCCAATGCTGACCTCCCACCACCACTTTTCCCCAACTTGCANCCAGTAATCCTTCCTGTTGCTTCGCTATTTCGCCTTCTCCTGTTCTCTTATCAATTCCAATGCTGACCTCCCACCACCACTTTTCCCCAACTTGCAATTATCTTTACACTTTCCACTCTTTTTATCCTCCTCAACATCTTCAAACACCAATCTTGAGCTCTCTAGTTTCTCTTTCCCGACAATTTTCGAGGATGAACCAAGACTCAATGAAACTTTCTGACCATTCTCCAATTTCATCAATTTTGGTTGTGACTCCAATGGCTGCAGTTTAGACCCATTTGCCACTGGCATCAACTGTTCCGCCAGTTCAATCTGCTTCCTAATATCTCTCTCTTGTTTCTCTTCCTCTGCTAAATCTGCCTTAATTCTCTTATTTTTCATATTTTCTTTAAAAAGTGTCTCTGAATCTCTATCAATATACATAATGAACCAACCCTTTGGTGTTTCTTCAACTTTACACTTCCCTCGTCCTCCCCACATACTTCACAAACTCAGTCAATGTCGCCCACTGCGTGGAATTCATATGAATATAGTGTCGGTCCGCTATATATTCATTGTATACTACCTTGGCTGTGACACTACTGAAGCGGTGGCTCCGCTTCATGTGCTCCAAAAAGGCAATTTCGAATTCCTCAGAGTATCCATCGACGATATGGTTAGGGTTTTGGCCGAAAACCACCATTTGGCACTGGTGGGACTCGCTCATGCAGTGGCATTTGAAGCCATTCTCGTCTCGGCATTGCTTCTGGCGCATCTGGTAGTACCACCGTAGTTTCTGAAGACCCTTTGCTTTGATTCAGTTCGCAATTGCTTTTAGAGTCAGAAAATCATTCTTCCTCATTGGGTTTTTTCGAATCAAAATCAAAAATTTTCTTGACAACCAAACAGATGAGGGTGATTTGAAGCGATCATTCCAAAATTAGCTATCAAATTGCATACAATAAATNATCAAGTGAAGAGAGGAAGCCGAGAAGAAGTTTTCTCCACTGTGCAACAAATGACATCAAGAAGGACTTGGGAGTTGATCAAGGAAAATCTTCCATAGATTAATAATTATAACTGTGGATGACAGAAAAAATACGGAATTCTCTTTTTGTCCTATGATTCTAATATATAGAATGCAACAGCTAAGATACAACACGCCTAAGGGCATCTCCAGTGTTGACTCAAACTCAAACTTAAATTTGAGTAAAAAAAATGAGTAAAGCTTGATTTGGTATGAACCTCTCCGATGGATAAATCAAATTTAAACTCAAATCTTTTTATAAAATTCCATGTTATCCCAAAAAACTCATTTCTTTAAATTTTTGCCACAAACATCATAGAAAATGACTCCATGAATGATCGCATAGATCAGTCCACAGAATCAAGACAAGCACCCAAAAAACAAAAATCAATAGAATCCAATAGGTTTGATTTTGGCGAGGCAACAAAGAGAAGACAAGAGAAGAAGGTTTGGTTTTGACGGTGACCGATGGACACAGGAGCAAGAGAGAAGAGAGTTGTGTTTTTGGTAAAAGGTTTGGTATTCCCTCCATTTGAGTCAAGAAAAAGATTTCCTTTTTTTGATATAGGTTTGAGTCAAAACTTGGAGATGATTTTTAAGGGTTTTTTACTTAAATTTAAATTTGAGTTTGAGTAAGGAGTGGAGATGGCCTAAGCATGAAACGATCCTCATAGTCAAAAAAATCATTTTCCTTAAACAATGTTTTGTGATCATTTAACCATGAAGAATAGACAACCCTAGCCGAAATTCCCCTTAAAATACCTTTTTAAACCAACTAACTTCACTCCTATACCATACTAGCACAATTAATGATATGATATTTGCCCACAAAAAGCTTCACAATTTCAATCTACAGTAGTAATTACATGCAGTTGGATTTGTGTTTCTTCCTGGTTTTACCAGCCATATGTCTTGTTGAAATAATCCATACAAGCTTTCAACTCAACAAGATCTCCCACCCATTTGGGGGTGACCTGAGCAAACCACTCTTTTATTGCAGAATTTCATTGTAACATTCATAAGCCTTGAAATCCTACGCAAAGGCAAGAGGAGAATGGTGACAAAACCACTGTATGCTTTGCCTGCCCCATTCACAGATTAAAAATTACAGAAAAAAGATTTCATGTACACCAAGGATGAAGCCAGTGTAAGTCATGGGCCCCCTGAGATTTGAGATCCCATATTTGCCTTGCACAACCCCCACCCATTTTTTTTTTCCAGCTATTTGCAACCTAGTTCCGAAATTTTTTCGGGGTATACATCAAATGTATTTTAAGTGCTTCCAACTTCCAATAGAATTTACAATTTACAAATTTAAGGCTATAATCCAGACTAGGCAAAAAGAAAATGCTTGCAATATTTTTCTTTCTTATAAGAAGTGTTTACTCCTACAGAACAACTGGGTTCATATACCATTTATATAATTGGACTACCTTACCTTAAAAGGTTAGAACTGAGCATTTATTTGATGATTTTAAAGTGTCCGCCATTAGCCACCCGAACCAAACCCAAATCCACTAATTTCGTATCAATTTCGTGCCGGTGAGCGGGTCCTGTATATAACTGCCCGGCCTCGCTGGGCAATACAAACGGGACAGCCGTCACTCGCCCTCCGAATGAATCCCAGATTTATCATACGACTAACTACAGATTTCACCAGCTAAACTAGCTCACATCTTCCTCAATAAAAAAAATAAAAATAACAGCAAATAATAGAACCCTTATAAGAACTACTCACTTCGCTTGTAAATTGCCTCCTGCAGATCATCCACAGTAGCCTGCATAGTCACCCAAATACAAAAGCCACTCGCAAATTCAGAAACACATAAAAAGAGACCGAAATGAAGATTTGTAGCTTAAATTATGAAAACGAAAGCAGAACCATACCGAATCATCGAGCTCAAGGCCACCCTTGATGAATTCTCTGCCGCTTCTTGTAGTGACAGACACCTTCATCTTTGAAACTAAGAACGACCCAGTTCAAGAAACAGACAAAACAACGACCCCTCTCCAGATCTACGAAAGAGAGAGTCCGAGAACTGCGTATAAATTGGTTGCGACTTGCGAAGGCTGAGTATGGTTATGGTTGGGGTAGATGACCGAACCAGATGGGACGGATGAGACGATGGGGGTAACCTGGGGGTGTGATGGGGCCTACATACCATGCCATGAATCGAATTTTGTTCGGAATCCAATTTAAATATAAATTTAATTATTCAGATATGAATTAATATTTTTATTCATAATTTAAACTTAAATTCAAATTCTCTATCCAATATTTCAAGAATTTTTATATTTTTATATTTTTTTTGGCAACAGAGGAATAACGGTGGAAGACTTGAGCCAATTTTATGAAAAATTTTAGTCATCAACATCACGGTCAGATAGTTACAATCAAATGACAAGTGCGGCTAGAAAATAGTGTGCACACGCAGGACGCTTCTGGCGACCTGGCATGCGCACGGGGCAAATGTAGTACTCGAAAAACTTCAAGACATATGTCTCTATTATAACAGGACAAGTGACAACGATTATCAATTGACATGGAAAATGGGGGCCCGACAGAGTTGAGCTGGACTAGTATAGACAACGGTGACAAGTGCGATGCCCCCTAGCGCGACGCCCTTTTGCGGGAATGGTATTGTAGAAGTATGGGGGCAACCTCGGGAAGACTCGCCTCTCCTACTACTAGAATGATATCCTCAACCGTTGCTCGACTAGCCTACTAGACTAAGAGGTGTCTCCACCTAGGGACAGGGGAGTATGACCCTCCTCAAGGGAGAATCGAACAATAGGGGGTGAGCGAGTATGATTGTTAGTCTCGGTCTGGGGCAGAGTTTCGAAGGTTTAGTCTGCTCAAGCAGACCTCCCAGTGTATGACTCACTGCCCGCTGGGATGTGCTTTACTGGGATCCGGAGAGACTCCTAAGGTAACTGAGGTTATTGGTCTGTATCAGCATATGGGATGATGAGACATATGGATTGGTGGCTGAAGGATCAAAACTATGTGGATTTCCTTTATTGGGCACCTCGGCAAAAGTATCGAGGAAGGGTTTAGAGAGGGAAAGAAGGACCCCGGGTTGGAGTGCGTTGGAGGCATCGCGGGCATGGTCCTCTCGAGGTCATGGTCCCACGGTGACCAGTCACGGTCATGGACCTTGGGAGCCCTCTCTCACCTTGGCTGTCACACCTTCCTTAGGGCCACGTACAGATTGCGTTTGGGAAAACATCATATCTGCCTAGTTGTGGGTTAGCGCGAGTGATAGGGGGTCGTGGCGGGCAGCCCTTTGGGCAGGCCGACCTACCCGAGCACTGTGCTATAAATACCCATATTACTTGCTCACTACGGGAGATGGTTTTTTTGGCAGGTGAAAACACTTTTCACCTACCCTCTACTCAACTGGTTCGTCTCTTCGTTAACAGGTCGCTCGAGTTCCTTCCATCCTATTCACTTATTCTACTCACCCCTTTCTATTACACTTGGCAAAACACACGTATGTCAACCTCTTTTAACTCCCCATCTACAATCTTCGTATTCAATATCCCGAAGAACTCTCCCATCATATATTCCCTTCTCTATCTGCACCTTCGCACATACATTATTCGCATCTACTGCTACCAACCTTGCAGTTGATCCACGATATGCACCATTAACTATCCTCACAAGGCCTCTAATTTGGGGGAATCACAGTTTCAAGCTCTTCCTGAACCACCCTCAACACATGCCTACTCTCAAGCATCTCAATTTCCCCAACATACTTATCAATCACCTTACGGACAATTCCCTTTTGCTTATAGTAACCCTATTCAGCCAATGTCTTACTAACTACCTTCACTATAGTTCCTTCAAACAACCAGTAATCCTTCCTGTTGCTTCGCTATTTCGCCTTCTCCTGTTCTCTTATCAATTCATCCAATGCTGACCTCCCACCACCACTTTTCCCCAACTTGCAATTATCTTTACACTTTCCACTCTTTTTATCCTCCTCAACATCTTCAAACACCAATCTTGAGCTCTCTAGTTTCTCTTTCCCGACAATTTTCGAGGATGAACCAAGACTCGATGAAACTTTCTGACCATTCTCCAATTTCATCAATTTTGATTGTGACTCCAATGGCTGCAGTTTAGACCCATTTGCCACTGGCATCAACTGTTCCGCCAGTTCAATCTGCTTCCTAATATCTCTCTCTTGTTTCTCTTCCTCTGCTAAATCTGCCTTAATTCTCTTATTTTTCATATTTTCTTTAAAAAGTGTCTCTGAATCTCTATCAATATACATAATGAACCAACCCTTTGGTGTTTCTTCAACTTTACACTTCCCTCGTCCTCCCCACATACTTCACAAACTCAGTCAATGTCGCCCACTGCGTGGAATTCATATGAATATAGTGTCGGTCCGCTATATATTCATTGTATACTACCTTGGCTGTGACACGACTGAAGCGGTGGCTCCGCTTCATGTGCTCCAAAAAGGCAATTTCGAATTCCTCAGAGTATCCATCGACGATATGGTTAGGGTTTTGGCCGAAAACCACCATTTGGCGCTGGTGGGACTCGCTCATGCAGTGGCATTTGAAGCCATTCTCGTCTCGGCATTGCTTCTGGCGCATCTGGTAGTACCACCGTAGTTTCTGAAGACCCTTTGCTTTGATTCAGTTCGCAATTGCTTTTAGAGTCAGAAAATCATTCTTCCTCATTGGGTTTTTTCGAATCAAAATCAAAAATTTTCTTGACAACCAAACAGATG